TCCTTTCCTTTCCTTTCCTTTCCTTTCCTTTCTTTTCCTTTCCTTTCTCTTTCTTTCTTTCTTTCCTTTTTCTTTCTTTTCTTTCTTTCTTTCCTGCCTTTCTTCTTTTTTTTTGAGACTCTCACTCTGTCACCCAGGCCAGAGTGCAGTGGCACAATTTCAGCTCACTGCACCCTCTACCTCTTGGGCTGAAGCAATCAACCCACCTCAAGCTCCTGAGTAGTGGGACTACAGGTGTGCACCATCATGTCTGACTAATTTTTTTTTTTTTGGTAGAGACAGGTATCTTGCTATATTGCCCAAGCTGGTCTGGAACTCCTGGGCTTGACCAATCTTCCTGCTTCAGCCTCCCAAAGTGTTGGGATTACAAGCATGAGGCATTATGCCCAGCTAACATTTTCAAGAATAAATTATTTAACACAGTCCAGGAAAAAATTAGTTAATACCTGGTTCTGTCAGGCCACCCAGCTACTAGAAATAGGATTTTTAAAAACAGCCTCGCCTGTCACATATCCTAAGGAAATTATTTTCCCTCTTATATTTCAGAAGCCTGTGATTCTTATAAACCTGGATATGTCTATTCCGAACTCAACTTCTGAAATTTACAGGAACAAACTACATCTCAGGGTAAGATGGTTTTTATGAAGCTGATTTCCATGAACAAAAAGCAAACTTGAGGCTGAGGCAGGTGGATTACTTGAGGTCAGGAGTTCGAGACGAGCCTGGCCAACATGGCAAAAACCTGGTCTCTACTAAAAATACAAAAATTAGTCGGGTGTGGTGGTGCGTGTGTGTAGTCCCAGCTACTCAGGAGGTTGAGGCAGGAGAATCACTTGAGCCTGGGAGGCAGAGGTTGCAGTGAGCCAAGATCGTGCCACTGCACTACAGCCTGGGCGACAAGATGAGACTCCATCTAAAAAAAAAAAAAAAATGATGTTCATTAATGTTCATGATTTAGCTTACCCTCCTGATTTAACTAATGCCAAAGGTGTGCCTTGATGTGCTGCCTTTCCCAGTCACGTTCCAGGGAGAGAGTCCACGTTGTTGAGTTGTGGGGAGGGAGAATGTTTTAGTCCCCTAGGGCTGCTGCCACAAATGACCACAAATTGGTGGCTTAGAGCAACCATTTCACAGTTCTGGAGGCTAGAAGTCCAAAACCAAAGTGTCTGTAGAGCTGTGCTCTATCCAAAATTTCTCGGGGGGAGCCTCCTTGCCTCTTCCAGCTTCTGGGGCTCCGGACATTGCTTGTGGTTGGCTCACTTCAACCTCTGCCTCTGTCTTCACGTGGCCTTTTATGTTCTCTCTTGTCTCTCTCTCTCTCTTCTTCTTCTTCCTTTTTTTTTTTTTTTGAGATGGATTCTCACTCTGTTGCCCAGGCTGGAGTTCAGTGGCACGATCTCAGCTCAATTCAATCTCCACTTTCCTGATTCAAGTGATTCTCATGCCTCAGCCTCCCAAGTAGCTGGGATTACAGGCACCCACCACCACACCTGGCTAATTTTTGTGTTTTTAGTAGAGATGGGGTTTCACCATAGTGGCCAGGCTGGTCTCGAACTCCTGACCTCAGATGATCCGCCTACCTCGGCCTCCCAAAGTGCTGGAATTACAAGTGTGAGCCAATGTGCCTGGCCCTGAATTGCTTTAGTAAAGAAAGGGTCTCCCAGAATAAATTCATCTGAACATGCATCCTTCTCCGAGCCATCTGACTCTTCAGTATTCTCACACCTGTCTGGCATCCCCATGATATTTTCCACTGATCACCACTGTCCAATAGAAATATAATGTCAGCCACATGGGCACACTTTTCACTCTTTCTAGTAGACACAATAAAAAAATGAAAAGATGGCCGGGCATGGTGGCTCACGCCTATAATCCCAGCACTTTGGGAGGCTGAGGTGGGTGGATCACTTGAGGTCAGGAGTTCAAGAGCAGCTTGGCCATCATGGTGAAACCCCGTCTCTACTAAAAATACAAAAAAATTAGCTGGGCGTAGTGGTGGGTGCTTGTAATTCCATCTACTTAGGAGGCTGAAGCACAAGAATCGCTCAAACCTGGGAGGCGGAGGTTGCAGTGAGCCGAGATTGCACTACAGCACTCCAGCCTGGGCAACAGAGTGAGATCTATGTTAAAAAAAGAAATGAAAGAAAAGAAGAGAAAAAAAAAAGAAAGAAAGAAAGAAAAGGAAGGAAGGAAGGAAGAAAACGAGAAAAGAAGAGAAACAGGCGAAATGAAATGGAATAATATATTTTATTTAACCCAGCATATCCAAAAATCCTATCATTTTAACAAGTACAACTACCCTATTTCCCTCAGAATGTAGTATTGCCTCTGGTTTGCTGTGGATCTTGTATTAAACCACTCAGCTGTGGAGTCCTGTGGGATCCAAGCTTCAAGGAGACCTATCATGCATGTTTAGGACCAGTTCCAGGTGTCCTTGACATGACGCTAAACCTCCATTTCCTTTTTCTTTTTTGGAGACGGAGTCTGACTCTGTCGCCCAGGCTGGAGTGCAATGGTGCGATCTTGGCTCACTGCGACCTCCGCCTCCCAGGTTCAAGCGATTCTCCTGCCTCAGCCTCTCAAGTAGCTGGCATTACAAGCATGTGCCACCATCCCCGGCTAATTTTTGTATTTTTAGTAGAGACAGGGTTTCGCCATGTTGGCCAGGCTGGTCTTTAACTCCTGACCTCAAGTGATCCGCCCACCTCGGCCTCCCAAAGTGCTGGGATTACAGGCGTGAGCCACCTTGCCTGGCCCTCCATTTCCTGATGTAGTCTTAAATCCACATTCACCGCCTTAGCGCGCTCAGACCCACGCTGCTGTAGGCTCCCCTGGCTCCTGGAGGAGTGCACCCGCAGACGCTGCAGTCTTTGTGTGGCTCAGCATCAGGAACTGCCCTTCCCCCGTCAGGCTCCGCTGAGACCCGACCCTGGTTATTAAGCTATAAGGGAGACAGGGGTGGATCTTAAAGAAGACAAGCAAAATATAGTGAAGCAAATAAAATGGTGGTTCCCAGGGGCTGGGGTCCGGGGACAATTAGGAGTGACTGGCTAACGGGTACAGCGTTTCAGTTTGGGAAGACAAAAAAGTTCTGGAAAAAAGATGGAAAGTGGTGATGGTTGCACAATAATATGAGTTTTGTTTTTATTGTTTTTTGAGACAGAGTCTCTCTCTGTCGCCCAGGCTGGAGTGCAGTGGTATGACCTAGGCTCACTGCAACCTCTGCCTTCCAGATTCAAGCGATTCTTGTGCCTCAGCCTCCCGAGTAGCTGGGATTACAGGCACCACCACCACACCCAGTTAATTTTTGTATTTTTAGTAGAGATGAGGTTTCACCATGTTGGCCAGGCTGGTCTCAAACTGCTGACCTCAAGTGATTTGCCTGCCTCGGCCTTCCAAAGTGCTGGGATTACAGGTGTGAGCTATTGTGCCGGTCAATATGAATGAATGTTTTTAATCCCATTGAATTACACACCTAAAATTGGTTAAAATGGTAAATTTTATGTTAGGTATAACTTACCACAATAATTTAAAAAATATTGTGAGGCGCCTGCCTCATGTGAGGTCTTCTAAGAAGAGGGGCTGTTCTCCTTCTCAAGAGAGCTTGCGGGCTTTGGGAGTTTCATATTCTCAAATGTCCACATCCCAAGGCCTACCCAGCCCCTGTCAGTGTCAGAAGTTAGCAGAACAGAACTGCTAGACGTGCTCATTCCATCTCCTCCTTGGTTGCCCCACCATTTTGATCAGATCCTGGAACTGGCTTTCAGCACAGTCTTCCAGCTGGCTGTGATAAATGAGGGTGGCTTAAACCCTATCCTTGGGGTTTCACAGCTTGCCCTGAACTGGTAGCCTCTCATTTTCTCCTTGCAAAGCTTCTAAGGCAGCTAAGAGAAGCCAACTAGCTTCACAATCCACATAATTAGCATTGCCCCAAACTTTTCAAGTGCTGGAATGCTGGCATTCACTGCCTCTTTTCTTTCTAAACCTCATTCCACATGGCAAGGGAAGGTCTTAGGAACTGTGGAGCTGTGGTGTGCTAAGGGTTCTCACTGCCTACCTATCACCAGCAAGGGAGTCCTTGTTGCCATCCATTCCTAGGGGTTCATTTGTTCCCTGAGGCTGCTTTCTAGGGCCTTCTGGTCCTGTATTTTATCCTGGACTAGACCTGAAAGCAGAGCCTGAAATAAGGCCTTCTGTGCAAATCATTTACGTAGGAGGTGGCCCTAGGAAGCAGGCCCAGTGCGCCACAGGAAAAGCCAGTTCTGGGTGTTTTGCTGAGTTGGGCACTGTGGTGGGCAGCTGGATGTGAGTCCACTGGAATCTTCTGAAGAGTCCAAGAGCCTCTTCTCAGTATTGTCCACTTGAGGATTGATAGTGAGAGGTATTTATCCATTGGTGTCCAGCCCTCATTGGTTGAGGATCATCCCAGGAAGTGACACCTCCCCCACTTCTAGACTAGCATGTGGGTATTCCAAGCAGGCTTCCCTCAGTGTCTCACCCCAGGCACTGCAAACACCCCAGGACAGAAACTGAACATGTGTATTATGCAGTTGAAGCAAGAAGCTATCAGTGCAAAGTCAGTAGACCCTCAGATGCAGCTGGGTCAGAGGGAAGGCCCAGGGATATGACGCAGGACACAGAGGTGACTGATACACCACCTCCCAACATTTCCTCTATCACAACAACTACAACAATGGCAACAATAGGGCTGGGTGTGGTGGCTCACGCCTATAATCCCAATACCCTGGGAGGCCAAGGCAGAAGGATTGCTTGAGTCCAGGAATTCAAGACTAGCCTGGGCAATGTGGTAAAATCCTGTCTCTACAAACAATACAAAAATTAGCCAGGCATCACTGCCACTAAAATTAGCATGTCTGTAGGCCCAGCTACTCAGGAGGCTGAGCTGGGAGGACTGCTTGAGCCTGGGAGGTCAAGGCTGCAGTGTACCACTGCACTCCAGCCTAGGCAAGAGAGTGAGGCCCTGTCTCAGTAGGTAAATAAATACATTAATTAATTAAAAATGACAACAATAATATATGTATTGAGCTTATAGCATGTTCCAGGTACTATTACTAAGTGCTTTGTGTGCCTGTCCTCGTATAGTCCCACAATACCTCTTTGGGGCAGGTACTTTTTTTCTTTTTCTTTTTTTTTTGAGACGGAGTTTTGCTCTTGTTCCCCAGGCTGGAGTGAAATGGCGCGATCTTGGCTCACTGCAACCTCTGCCTCCCGAGTTCAAGTGATTCTCTTGCCTCAGCCTCCTGAGCAGCTGGGACATGACACCACACCTGGCTAATTTTGTATTTTTAGTAGAGATGGGGTTTCACCATGTTGGCTAGGCTGGTCTCGAACTCCTGATCTCAGGAGATCCACCTGCCTCAGCCTACCAAAGTGCTGGGATTACAGGTGTGAGCCACTGTGCCTGGCCTGGGGCAGGTACTCTTATTTCCCTCTTTTCATACAAAAAGAAACTGACTCACAAGTTCATTCAGCTAACACCTGTTGGAAACAGGAAAGGAACTCAGATCTGAGTGACACCAGAGCCCACACTTCTTTT